ACCTGGAGCTGGGAGGCCATAAGCCACCATCGCCAGCCTAGGCTGCAGTGGGGCTGGCCTGCAGTGGGCATGAGCTTTCGTGAGCTGCCCTGAGCAGCCATCCAATGCCCGGTGAGCAACAGCCTCACCCAGGAGGAGCCCAATGATACCAACATGGGTCAGTGAAGTGACGTCCTCCACAACTAGACTGAAGAACAAGAAGACAGCAATTTGTCTGTTCCCCTTCTCAGATTCCCCAACACTGTTCCCCTCCCCCAATTCCCCAATAAAATCTTTAAAAATAAATATATAGATAAATAGATAGATAAACTTAATCATAGCTTTGTGTGTGAGAGTTTGTTTTCCCCTCCTGTGTAGGAATCTGTTGAATGACTATGTCACAATCATGTACCTGGTTCTCCCAAACCCTGATGTCTTGATTTCTTGTACTCTTCTTTTTTTTCTTCCAGAATAATCCAGATAGGTCCACCCATTTCTACATGGGAAGCCATTTGGTGGTGGTTCTGGGTGTCCTCAGACAATAAACACTTGGAAGCCCTGGCTGCCAGAGAGGGCTAGGCCAGCATTCCCCACTACAGGGCACATTACGGGGCCCCACATGCCCCATGTCTCAACTCACTAGAGACAACTTCCCTCAAGGCTCAAGACAAGGATATCCAGTAGAATCCAAGCTCAAGGATGAACTTAGAGGTTCAGGAAAGCTTTTAAACATCCCTAGGGCCGGCCAAGTGGCGCATTGGTTAAGAGCTGGCTTGGGATGCTAGCTCTGAGCAGCAGATCCCCGGTTCAGATTCCACATGAGGGCCAGTAACACTGCCCTCTACATCTAAGATGGTGAACAACAGCTCGACCTGGAGCTGGGCTGCTGTGAGTCACTGGCAATGATGTAGGCTGCAGCCCCTGCTGCAGTGGGCTGCCATAAGCTACCTGAGTGGCCGGCAGCCAGAGTGAGCAGCTGACAGCCAGCATGAGCTGCCAAGAGCCGCCGTGAGCGGCCATCCAGAGGCCGGCGACCAAGCTGCCTCACCTGGGAAGAGCACAATGATCACAATACCAACTTGGGTCAGTGAAGCAATGTCCTCCACAATTAGACTGAAGAACAAAAGGACAGCAACTTGTCTGTTCCCCTTCCCTGATTCCCCAACACTGTTCCCCTCCCCCAATTCCCCAATAAAATCTTTTTTAAAAAATCCCTAAATACAGGCCTAAACTTAGGGTCTCCCCTTTATTTACCTGGACTCAGGAGAGAATAGATTCTAGTGAAATTAAATGAATAAGCCAAAATAAGTTTGAAAGAGCAAAAAAAATTACGGAAAAGATTCTAAGCCACTTTCACATTCCTCTTCTACAAAAGGAGATAAATAACAAAAGAAAAAACTCATCCCAGTTTAACACAGTGTTAATTAATAAATTATGGCTCAGTTCAATTCCCGGAAGTCAACTACTTAATGAGTGTTCCCTTCTCCCTAGAAAGTCACTTAATTTTTAAGCAATAATGATACTATTTTTAATTGGGTCATTCTGCTTCTGGAGTCCATAAATTTTTCTATTACTCCTTCACTCACTTTAAATACCCAACTAAGAATGCAGACATTATTTTTTTTCTCCACTCAAGCTCCATTCAAGAGAGGAGAAAGAAAGAAAGAGAGAGAGAGAGAGAGAGAGAGAGAGAGAGAGAAAGAAAAAGAAAGAAAGAAAAATTTAAATGTGAGCGATTTTATTCCATGCACATCACTGAATTTCCAAACTAATGAAAGCATATTATATATATGAAAATTGGTGAAATATGATGAAAAAAGAATTTACTTTGGTTGATGAACACAATGCAATATATAGATGATGTATTTTAGAATTGTACAATTGAAACCTATATAATTTTACTAACCAATGTTACCCCCAACAATTTTTTTAATTACAATTTATTGGTTAGTAAAATTACATAAATGTCAAGTGTACAATTCTGTGATACTGCATCTATATATTGCATTGTGTGTTACCACCCAGAGTCACATAGATATGGACAGATAATTTTTGACAAAGGAGCCAAAAACATACAATGGAGAAAAGACAGCCTCTTCAATAAATGGTGCTGGGAGAATTGGAAAGCCACATGCAAAAGAATGAAACTAGACTTCTTTCTGTGACCATGTACCAAAATTGCTCAAAATAGATCAAAGACCTAAACATAAGACCTGAAACAATAAACTGCATAGAAGAAAACATAGGTACTAAAATTATGGACCTTGGGTTCAAAGAGGATTTTATGAATTTGATCTCAAAGGTAAAGGAAGTAAAAGCTAAAATGAATGAATGGGACTATATCAAACTAAAAAGTTTCTGCACAGCAAAAAGCACCCCAATAAGTTTAATTTTAAAAAAAAATTGGGGGGCCGGCCGAGTGGCGCGATGGTTAAGAACTCGCTTGGGATGCCAGAGGGCCCCGGTTCGGATCCCACATATGAGGGCCAGTGACA